TCACAGAAATGATCACCATATTGTGACGACGTGTCACGAGCAAATTTGGATTGCTACCTTGAAGGTCAAGGTCACAGCATGACCTTGCATCAAAATTGTGTCCGGCCCGTAATTTAGTTATTTGAAGTCAGATTTAACAACTATTTCACAGAAATGATCACCATGTTGAGACGACATGTCGCGCGCAACATTTTGAGCGCTGCCTTGAAGGTCAAGGTTACAGCATGACCTTGCAGCAAAATCGTATCTGGCCCATAACTTTGTTATTTAAAGTCTGATTTCTCAACTATTACTCAAAAATGATCACCAAATTAAGAGGACGTGTCGCACGCAACATTTGGGTCACTACCTTGAAGGTCAAGGTCACAGCATGACCTTGAAGCAAAATCATTTCAAGCCCATTACTTAGTTATTTGAAGTCGGATTTTACAACAATGTTTCAAAAATGATCACCATATCAAGACGACGTGTCCCACGCAACAATTGGGTTGCTACCTTGAAGTTCAAGGTCACAGCATAACCTTGCAGCAAAATCGTGTCCGGCCCATAACTTTGTTATTTTAAGTCGGATTTCACAACAATTTCACAAAAATGATCACCATATTGAGACGACGTGTCACGAGCAACATTTGGGTGGCTTCCTTGAAGGTCAAGGTAACAGCATGGCATTGAAGCAAAATTGTGTTCCGCCCATACTTTCGTTATTTGAAGTCGGAGTTTACAACTATCTCAAATAGATAATCACCATATTGCGATGTGTCTCATGCAACATTTGGGTTGCTACCTTGAAGGTCAAGGTCACAGCATGACCTTGCAGCAAAATCGTGTCCAGCCCATAACATCGGTTTTTTGATGTTGGATTTTACAACTATTTCACAGAAATGATCACCATATTGAGACGACGTGTCAGGCGCAACATTTGGATTGCTACCTTGAAGGTCAAGGTCACAGCATGACCTTGCAGCAAAATTATGTCCGGCCTATAGCTTCATTATTTGAAGTCAGATTTTACAACATTTTCTCAGAAATGATCACCATATTGAGACGACGTGTCACGCGCATGTTGGTAGATAGATCCTATTGAGTAGAAGTGCAGTGCAAAGAACAGTAACTCTGCCTTGCCTAAGTTTGTAATTATCACACTTTGAACTTTGTCTGGGACATAACTCTGAAACTACAAAAGGTATACCTTTCTGTGTCCAAAACCTAGTCGGGGCAGCATCACCCGGTTCAACCGGCTCTTGTTTTTGAATGTCGCAAGTTCTCTTATGTAACTTTTAATAACAGGCAAAACTTCAAAACATATAAATCGTTGTACTATTTTAAATGCTGTTTAGCATAGAAAACAAACGTTTCTCTGATTGATGAAAAATGTGGATGCTTTACTGATAAAAATAGACCGTACTGGACGAAAATGATAAACGGCCGGAAAACTGCTAAGGGACGGAAACTGCTAGGAAACCAGTATCGTTTAAAAAATGCGAAGGGAAAACTCTGATTGGGTATGGACACCTTCAAATGGGAGTTGTTACCCTTGTCTATATATTAGTATACACTTAACGAAACTTATAAGTACGCCGATTTCAAACTTACAGGAAATTATTAGTTTATTGATGTGCCTAACATAAAAACACAAAGCGACATACACACCCAGGCACCCCAGAGCCCCCCCCCCAAAAAAAAATGAAATCTGGTGGCTTCTGGTGCATTTTAGCTGCACATTTTGAAATTTTCACAAAGTTTCAGACTTTATTAAATTTTTGTTGAAATTACATTTTATTTTTGGCAAAAGTCCAAGAAAATCAACTTAATGTTTACTGATTTCTAGGATAAAACTATGATTTGAAAAGAATTTTCCAGACAGGCAGTACCTTTTAAACCAGATGCTTGGGGGTCAGACCCTCCCGCACCTGATACTTCCCTCAAACACATTTTAATATCTATACTCGAATGGGACATATTTTACAAAGATTAAACTGGTTTTAAAACAAATTTTACATAATTACATGTATATGAAAAAAAAACCTTTCACCATCTGACAAGTTTCAAATATTGAGACTTCATGGTGTAAAAATTGTTTGAAAACCATTTTTATCTTTGTAACAGATGTCCCATTTGTGTTTAGATATTGAAATATTTTTGATAGAGAGTTTACAAGGGCGTATTAGGTTGGGGGGCAAGGTCTGACCCCCAAGCGTCTGAAAATATGTACAAAAAAATGTTCATCAAGTTCAATGGGGGCAATTTCTAATTTACTAGTATTTTAAATAAGTGCGTTAACTGGAGTGTGTAGCATACACATGGTAATAATCAGGTAATACGAAAGGTCTCCTGAATTTATGTTATTCTGTTGTACAGAGCAATACAAAAAACCTGGTATAAATGATGTGAAAAATGCTGCATTCTAACTGAGTAACTTTAAAAAAAAAAAAATAGTCTCAAAAAATACAATTTTGATTATTGTGGCCAAATATGGAAACTTTATTTTCAGGCAATGAAATGTTCTAATTTATGAACTTTGAATAGGGCGGGGTTTCCAAAAATGTAATAACAGGACATTTCTAATTATAAATGGTTATTTTCAGAAAATAATAAAAAGTTGTGTTATAATAAATTAACATCAAAAACAAAAGTTGCAATTTTGGCTCTTTTAAGGCCAAAAATAAAAATATGTTTGTTTCCCTTTCCCAACCAATTAAAATTAGGTTTGGGTTAGGTAGGATTTTTATATGTGCATAATGATAAATAACCTGCATATATGTATACTGTCTATTCTAAGTGGCCATAACTTTGTTAGTCTTCAAACTTGAACCCAACATTCATTTAGTTTAAGACAGACCCTGACCTTCACTCATAAATGACCTTGACCTTGAAGGTAAAATTATTAAAATTTTCTTTTTGTTGCTGTAACTTGCTATGACCTTGTAATTTAACTGAATGGATTTGACTTCATAACACACTACAGGTAATCACAGTGTGATTACATAGTACTGTTATAAAAACTGGGACTTTTTATAAGAATAGACCAAATTCATTTGACAAGTAATAGGAAATACTGTTCCCAAACCTGGTTTGTACATTCACTCATTCAAAGAAGAATTTACTAGATTTCAATAAATTTCTGCAATTGAAGTATGAGCATAGTATATCTATAACCTAAACCAGCAAGTTAGATTATTTATCTTAACTTAATTTATCTTCAGTTCTATATATACTTAAATGGCTTCATAATTTCAACACTTACTTATCAATACAAAGTAGATGATATTGTTAAGTTATATAACTCTGTCATCCATTATTCCCAGTTATTTCCCTTTTTTATCACTTTGAAAATAGGGCCTTGTTTGGTAAACCGGCAGGTAGGATTAATCTTAAATTTCTCCAAACAGTAATTACTTCATTTATTTAAGTAACGATATCGTCCGTATTTGGCAGGTGGATAGATTTTTACACTTTTGCCCATACAGCCTTTATTCTTTCATATTTGACAGGAAGATAACTGGGATGGAATTCTTCCTTTGAGTAAGGGGTCTGAGTGGGTCAATGTCAAGGGTGCCAAAAATATATATCTACACATTTGCTTATACAGCCTTTATTCTATTGCCTGATGTTTTTCATATTTCCAAAGGATGATAACCTGCATTGTCTTCTTCCTTTAGATTGAGGTATGGGTCACTTGGAACAAGGTCACTTGTGCTTAATATATATAGTTTTACACTTTTGCCTATACATCCTTTATTTAGGGATATATGTCTTTTATATTTGTTAGGATGATATCTTGCATGGTCTTCTTTTACATAATAGTATAAAAGATGGAATACTGATTAAAAGCCAGTGCTAGAGAAATGTTGTACATTTATTCTGATATGAATTGATTCAATCAAATCCTGAGTCTTCATATAATATTGTTGTTTTAATTGCTTATGAGGGATCATACAACCATTTTTTAGAGGGATCACTTCTTTATTGTCTGTTTGTCTGTCAGTCTGTCTGTCAGTTCAAACCCAGAGGTACTTTTGTGACTTAGAGAACAATAGGTAACAGTAAATTCCCGTTTTTACTTGTGTGTCTTTTTTTAAGCCTTGTGTGACTAAAAATGGCTAAAAAATTCAAAGGAAAAATCTCATAAGTACCATTTTGTAAGTAAGTCAGTCTGTCAGTTTGTCACAAAACTCGTCCGGCTACTCCTTATAAACTACAAGTGCAATTTCATCCAAACTTTACAGGAATGGTCAGTACTAAATCTAGTTGTGCATATTGCCAGCATTTTATGGTTATGAGTTATGGCCCTTTATTAATTTTTGTTTTTTAAAGTTTGTTTGGACAACTCCTCTTATACCACTAATCTTTACAGGATTAATCTGTAGCTCAAGTCCTTTCTTGGCTTTTCTTGTGTGTTGCCAGATACACAAAAGCTTGATCGGACTACTTCTCAAAAAATACTAGTGCAATTTCATCCAAACTTTACAGGAATGATCAGTGCCAAGTCTAGTTGTTAATATTATCGGCTTTTTATGGTTCAATAAATTGTGATAGAGTTGTGGCCCTTTAATTATTTTTTAAAGTTTGTCCGGTCTACTCCTCTTACCACTCATGCCATTTCAAAGAAACATTACACAATATTGATTGGTAGGTCAAGTACACAGGTTTTTGCTTGAATGATTTTTGGCCCAGTTATGGCCCTTGAATGAAAAAGATGTTTATAAAGTTTGTCTGGACTACTCCTCTTTTACCATTTATGCAATTTCAATGAAACTTTACAGGATTGATTGGTAGATCAAGTACTTGTGCATAATACTTAAGTTTTTTGCTTCAATGATTTTCAGATGAGTTATTGCCCTTGAATAAAAAAAGTGGTTTGTCCTGTTAGTGATTTTTTGGTCTCCTGCTATACAAAAGCTGCAACATGTGATTGACTTTAATGCGGGGTCACATGTCATCACTGATGGCCCTTGTTTTAGATGTATGTATTATTGTGATACAATGTTTTTCAGATTTTATAAACAAAGATATGGATGGATCAGAAAGTCATAATTATGACAGTGACACTTGTGCTGAAGCTGAGCTTCCAGATAGTCCAAAAGTTGAATCTGGAGTGGATGAACAATCAAATGATGGTCACCTCATCAAATTGGAAAAAAATAAGAGTTCAGGAAGTTTTCCTTTTTCAACAGAAGAGGGTAGTTCATTAAGATGTGATTCTTGTGCAGAGAGTAACATAAGCAAACTAGCCGCCAAGTTATGCATTGAATGTACAGAAAATTTCTGTGATGAATGCTCCTCTGTTCATTGTTCACAAAAGGCGACAAGAAACCATGTCCTAAATGATTGTATGTCTCCAACAAAAGCACCAAGAGCAGTATTTTTATGTTCAACCTGTTCAGTTATGCAGCACACAAACCCTGCCACAATGAGCTGTAAGGAATGTGAAGAGGTCTACTGTGACATATGCAGCAATGTTCACAGAACACAAAAGGCCACTAGAACACACACCTTGTCAGTACATGAGGACCTTCCAGGAAAAACCATGTGTGAACCATGTGAATATAATGGCAAAGAGAATATAGAAGCTGTCTACCTTTGCATTGACTGTGATGAAGTCCAGTGTACCGACTGTAAATCGGTTCATATAAAACAGAAGGTCACTCGTGGACATACTCTCATCTTATCTTTTCCAGACACCGACAAATTGTGTGATGTTTGTTGGAAATTGGGGCAACAAGCTACACCTGTAAAATATTGCAAAGTTTGTTTCACAAAAATGTGCAACAAGTGTGCAAAGGAGCACCGAGAGGATTCATCAGCAAGTGAGCACAAGCTTTATGACATAAAGCCTCAAGCATCAATTAAACCAGTATCTACACAAGTGGTGCAACACACAAGGTAAGCTTGTAAGTTCTTCTCAATCAAACAAAAAAACCCCAAAAAGACCACAAGATAAAATGATAAATTTAATAAAAGACATGAATTTTGTTTTATTGTGAGTCTTACAATGTTTCATAGACCACAGATGCTTGGGGTTCAGATCCTGCCCCCTAATTTGGTACGCCCCTGTAAACACTATCAAAAATATTTAAAAAATTTAAACATGAATGGGACAACTATTACAACAAAAAACTGGTTTTCGAACAATTTTTACATACATGTATATGAAAAAATATGGTATACCATCAAGCCTCAATAGTACTTTATTGAGACTTGATGGTATACGCGTATAATGCGGTATTTTTTCATATCTGTAAAAAAATTTGAAAATCAGTTTCATCGTTGTAACAGCTAGATGTCCCATTCGTGTTTAAATTTTCAAAATATTTTTGATAAAGAGTTAACATGGGCGTATCACATTGGGGTGGGGGGCAGGATCTGACCCCCAAGCGTCTGAGTCTGATCAGAGATGGTATCAAGAAACAACACCTTTAGTAGTAGTATAAATTTATGTTTATGCTTGGACTCCTTGGTGTTAGTAAATGTTCGTGGTATGAGCAATTTCATGTTGTTAATTTTGTTACTGTTAAAATTTTTAAGAAAATATATAATAACTTAGTCCATGCAGATCTTTTATATATTAGGTTTTCATCATTTGAGGTTAAAACATCCTATACAATAACAAAATATTTTAATATTCTTTATTAAAGTGTTTACATGTACAATTAAGTCTGTTTTTTTTACTTTACAGTAACAAACAGACTGTTCCGGAAGAGAGACCAAAAGTAAAGAAGTCTGTAATAGACACTGTAAGCTAGTTTACAAGATTTGATATTATTTCAGTTAGTTAAATTTTGTATTTTTTATGCAAGAGTAAAATTGTTAATTCTTTAACAGTTTACTTAAGTTATAAGGTGTGATATATTTTAATTAATACTTGTAATGCAAAGATGCAAAGCCAGTCATATAAATTTAAACAATTCTTGCAAGTGAAAAAGCAGAGTAAAAAGTACTACTTATTATGCCCCGGGCCGCCATGTAATGGCAGGGGCATATAGTGTTACCCTGTTCCGTCATTCCGTCCTTCCGTCATTCTGTCATTCCATCATCATCAGTTTCCGTTCATTATCTTAAGAACGGTTGCACACATTCAATTCAAATTTGACATATGGATATGTCATGAGAAAATACAGGTCAAGTTTGAATTTGGTCGTGGTTCAATGATTTTGAACAAACTTATCTTTCCTGAATGTTGGAAAAAATTTGAACTTTCAGTTTCAGCACTGATTCTTTTGTGGAAATGTATGTAGCCATTATTTTGGCTACAAATATGCAATATGTTATTTTCAAAAGGTTAAGACTGAATAATTTCATTGCCTTGAACATTGTATGAAAATGGTTTGTGTTAACATTGAATAGTTTTAAGGGCTTTGAACTTAAAATGAAAAAAATAATTTGTGCAAACAAATTTGGAACTAAATATTATAACATCTGAAATTTTTGCTGCATGCGGGGGCATCCTTGGCATGATGACACATTTCTAGTTTTCAATGATTTTTTTGACACCTTCCACAGGGTAAGTGTAATAATGGTTTATTGTTATCATAGGGAACACACTGGAAGCTGAAAACCATACGTTCGGAAAAAGTGATTCACACTTGGTATGAATTAAGCTTAAATGGGGACATACTAGTTGGTAACCTTATGGTCCACTACATTATATAAATGATGACAAAATAACATTCAGGACTAAATTTCCTTTAACTTTCAGTAGACTAAATATGACTTTAACCTTTAGAAAACATTCACAAGTAAATAATATCACTTTTTATAGCTAGAATAAAGTATATGAACAGCTGTCGGTGGATTCACACATCCATGTCCAGTTTTGAGATTAGTTTAAAATGTATCCTATCATAATTTCTTTTTTTCCTAATGCATCAACTTCAAACAATTATGTTTCTTATTTTCAACCTCATCATATACATGTATATAACATTATTTTCATAGTTATCTCCCCTTGAACATAGAACTTTCCATAAAAATAATTTTTGTTTACATCAAAAGGAATCTTTTTCATACTTCAAATATATATTCCTTATCATAAACCACATTACATGTGACAAGGTTCTTGACCAGTATTTTCATAGTTATGTTGCCTTTGGATATGTAATGTATCTAAACTGATTATCACAAATCCAAATAGGTTTGGATTCTCAAAATGATTTATTATAATTATTGTTTACTGTGTTTCTATTTTGATAAATATAAAAAACACTGTATCATTCTAAAAATATCTCTCACACCATCAATTCATTGTCTACTTCCACATTACTGTAACCAACTTTACAAAAGTTGTATTAAATAATAATAATTAGTATCTACTTTAGACTTTAGGTAATTACTCTTAATGCCATTACTCACATTATGTATGACAAGGTTTATAGCATTTAATTTAGGAGTGTTATTTTTTTTTTCTTTTAGGAATTAATTATATCCCCACAAACGAAGTTTAAGGGGTGTCAGCTTGTTCGTCTGTAGGTTGGTCAGTCTTTATCATATAAGTACTTAAGCTGAAGCACAGGGGCTTAAGTTATAAAAATCCTTTTGATGTGCAGGAAAAGCATATTAGAAGTAGGGGACTTTTGTGAAGTGGGGGCTGCTTTTGTGGCTGGGATGGTTTCTGGATGATAACTAGAGTTTTGGCATGAGATATTGTAATCAAACTTGGTATATAGCAAGCTTATATGAAGACCCTGCTGGTATTGCATATGGACCCTATGGTGTCAAGGTCACTGTTACTGAAAATAGAAAAATGGTTTCTGGACAATAACTGGAGTTGGGAATATTGTAAGATATTGTAATCAAACTTAGCCTCCATAAACTGTAATTTAGGCCCTAGCTACTTAATATTTGGGAATTTGCGGTTACTACAAATCCGCGAAAGTTTGTCTCCGCGATGTCGACATGGCGAAAAACATGAAATATTGTATCAGCGAACATTTCTAGAAATACAGTATAAAGATTTAATGAACAAAACAAGTTAGGAAAAAAAAAACATATTACAGTAAATTTCACTTATAGCGAACACCAGGGTTATAGCGAACTTTCGGTTATTAGGAACAATTTATTTTGGCCAGAATTTTACCCTTCTTTATTTAATATAAAAATATATGGTTATCATAGCGAACACGGTTATTAGGAATTATCGCTTATAACGAACTCATTTCTAAGTCCCAATTTAGTTAAAAGTAAAGAAAATTATACTTTTATAACGAACTCTAAAATATCGGCTATATTCCCGCTAAACCATCGAAACTTCAAAGTAAGCTTGATTGAAATGTAAAGAAATTTATATCTTTGATACTAGTAAGTAAAGTCATTGTAAAATATATTAGGAGATATTCAATAATTAAAAGGAATGAAAAATCTTGTTTATTCTTAATCATAGGAAGAAAACGACAAGCACTGAGTTTAGAAACAAAATATGATATTTTATGAGAAAGTGAGTAAAAAATATGATAAACAAGATCAACAAAAGAGGCGGCTGCATTCAATGAACTCAAATTAATATAGCAAAGGATTTTCAAATTCCAAACTGTACACTTTCGGGTATTGTGTCTAAATAAATGACTATTTTTCTTAATCAAATGCTCTTCAAAATGGCAAACGATGGTAAACAATCAGTTCATTATATGTAAATCTGTTCCCTATAAAAACTCCTGATACAAGGAACTAATTCGCTATATGCTTACAAGGAACTCCGGATATAAGGAACACTGATGTTGAATGTCTCAATGAGATCGTTATAAGCGGAGTTTACTGTAATTATTTTCTAGAAATATGATTTTTATGTGATAAGCCCGATCAAAAGAATATACATTTGGTGTATATAGAAATTATCTTAAATTCAATTTTAATTAGTCCCCTACCGGTTTAACCAAAGGGGAATATAGGTGAACCCTCTGTCCGTCTGTCCTTCTGTCTGTCTGTCTGTCTGCACTACCGAATAGGAATAAGGGACCATCTAACTGTAAACAGAACAAAAGAGAACAATCCGTAACAATAGAGTAAGGGGCCATTGGCCCTCTATTAAACAATAGAAAATAACACAAGAAATGGCCCCTTATTCCATTTCGGCCGGCCGTCCGTCTGTCTGTCCGTCAGTCCGTCCGTCCACAAATCTGGATCCCGCGATAACGCAAAAAGTACTGAAAATATTTTATGAAACTTGATATATGGATAGATGGCAGTATGGAGATTATGCACGTCTTTTTTTTTCTTCCTATGTTGAAAATTCTGGTTGCTATGGCAACAAATAGTCTGAAAATATGGCAAATGTAACACATAAACTGGATTCAGTGATAACTCAAAAAGTACTGAAAATATTTTTATGAAACTTAAAATATGGGTAGATGGCAGTCTGGAGATTATGCACATCTTTTTTTTCTTCGAATGTTGAAAATTCTGGTGGCTATGGCAACAAATAGCCTGAATTTCAAGATTTCTGATCTAAATTTTTCAGCTTTTTCACTATAAGTTCTTTATTTCTTAAGGTGTTTACTTCAAACTTTAAATATAAGTTTCTGGTCATCAACCACATCATATGTGACAAGGTTTACAACTCTAGCACAAAAATTATCAGTATAATCTCCCTTGAACTTAGAATTTTTATGAAAAAAAAATGTCTTTTTTAAATAACTTCTTTATTTCCTAATGTATCTACTTCAAACTTCATATATATGTTTCTTATTATCACCCAACATTTTTGAGAAGGTTAAATACTCTAGCAAGACTATTTCCAGAATTATGTCCCCCTTGAACTTAGATTTTTTTCGAGAAATTGGTATTTTTCACTCCAACTTCTTCATTCCTTATAGGATTTACTTTAAAATCCCACATCGTAATAATAATTGACAAGGTTGTATTAACATAATTTCCTTACAAGGCATGTAAACTTAACACATTACAGTGATATAGACAAACTTCTAAGAACTCAAAAGATTTAAGTTCATTCATGTCATTCATTCACTGGTAAAATTGAATGGCCAGTGGCCAATCAGAATGTTGCTGGGGTTCTAACCTGTAGGGGACTTATGGATTGCTTGCAATACTATTATAATTGCTTGTTAACCTATGTTTCAATTAAATGCCTCTGAAGTGGTTGGAGACATTGACTTTTGAAGTGACAGTGGTTGAAATTGGCTATATTTATGTTGCAATTGTCCAGTAAAATATTCTTTTGAATTTTATCTTCCCAATAGACAAAACCTGGAAAGCCATGCGTGGTTGGTCAAGTATCTGTAGACACAGTTTGCCTTGTTTGGGAATCGCCAACACAATTGTTTGAAAACCCTAACTTCCAGTTAAGGTATAAAGAAGCTGATGGGTCTTCCAAATGGAGATTCTATCCAGACCTAGCTCCTAGTAGCACGATAACATTAACCAACCTGAAGTCAGATACACACTACGTTTTCCAAGTACGAATGGTGAATGATGAAAATGAGGGCTCATATAGTGATATAAGTGACACTATAGGGACAATACAATCAGCTGCCCATCACGTTATGGATTTTATGTATGATGTCACAGCACAAGATGTCAATATCCCTTTGAAGAAAATACCTTTCCAGGAAAATATCAAAACTAGAAATGAAAAAGCTAAAACTAGAAAATTGATCATTGGTAAGAACTTATGCTATGGTATGCTATACATAATTAATTACTTTAATTTTTGTTGTAAAATATTTTTAGTTTTATTTTTCACAGAAAAATTGAGCTATTGCTGTTCATGTTGTCATTACTTTTGTTGATACCTTTGCCCGTTGGCAAACTTTAATCACAATTATTTTATTGTCCCCCCACGCCCCCCCCCCCTTTTTGAAGAAAAAAGGGGGATATAGAAATAGGCTCCGTCTGACTCTGTCCATCTGTCTGTCCGCACTCACAGGAGAGTAATTATGTGGCTAGATGGACAATAGGTAACTGTTCTTTCTTTTTGATGTCATTCATTTCGTAATGCTTTTATGTGGCTATTTTCTTTTGGTGGCTAAAAAGAACAATAAAGAGAACAATAGAGTAGCTACATTATTACTCTCCTGTAAAAACTTCCGTCGGTCTGTCAGCACTACAGAATAGAGATAGGGGGCCATCACTGTAAACAGAACAAAAGAGAACAATAGAATTCATTCCGTAACTATAGAATAAGGGGCCAAATTGGCCCTCTATTAAACAAAAGAAAATAACAATAGAAATGGCCCTTTATTTCTTATCGGTAGGATGTCTGTCTGTCCATCCGTCTGTCCGTCCATCCAATTTTTTTTCACACTTCCGTGCCTGGTCCATAACTTTGTCATTTATCAAAGGAATTTGAAATAACTTGGCACAAATGTTTCGTTCTTATAAGACGATGTGTCATGTGCAACCAGGGTTAAGGTTGCACTTGCTCATTCAAGGTCAACATTGTCTATTTGAGGGTATATGTTGTGTCCAGTCCAAAACTTTCTTATCTTTGAATGGATTTTGTAAATACTTGCCACAAATGTTTACAATAATGAGAAGATGTGTCATGCACAACAACCAGTCACCTACCTCCAAGGTCAAGGTCACACTTAGAGATCAAAGATTAACATAGTCTGTTATAGAGTACATTCTGTGTCCGGTCCATAAAATTTTCATAGATCAAAGGATTTTGAAAAATACTTCACTATAATAAGTAACTATAATAAGACGATGTGTCATGCGCTAAACACCTACCTCCAAGGTCAAGGTCACACTTAGAGGTCAGAAATAAACAAAGTCTGTTAAAGGGTATATTTTGTGTCCGATCTTTATAGTTATAGGGATTTTGAAATAACTTGGCACAAATAGTCACAATAATAAAGATGATATGTCATGCACAACAGCTGCACCCCTACCTTCAAGGTCACACTTGGAGGTCAAAGGTTAACAGAATCTGTGATATGGTATATTTTGTGTCTCGTCCATAACTTGTCATGCACAACAACTGTGTCCCTACCTCTAAGGTTAAGGTAACACTTAGAGGTCAAAGATTTACTTAGTCTGTTATAGAGTATATTTTGTGTCCAGTCCATAACATTTTCATAAATCAAGGTATTTTAAAATACTTTGCACAAATAATCACAATAATTAGACGATATGTCAGATGCAAAACATGGGTCCCTACCTCCAAGGTCACACTTAGAGGTCAAAGAGTAACATAATCTGTTGTAGGGTATATTTTGTGTCCGATCTATAAGTTCTTCATTATAATTTCAAGGGATTTTGAATATACTTGGCATTAATAATTACAATTATAAGATGATATGTCATGCACAACACCTGCACCCCTACCTCAAAGGTCACACTTAGAGGTCAAAGCTTAACATAATAGATTTTTATACCCCCAAAAACGAAGTTTGGGGGGGGGGAGGGTATATAGGAGTCACCCGGTGGTCGGTCGGTCGGTCCAGACGTCCGTTGCATTTTCCTTGTCCGGAGCATAACTTGAAGACTAATGGCTGGAATTCAATTGATACATACAATGGTCAAGCACATTGAGAGGAAGTGCAGTGCACAAGAACCATAACTCTATCTTGACTAATTACAGAGTTATTGCCCTTTGTTACTTTTCCTTGTCCGGGGCATAACTTGAAAACCACTGGTTGGAATTCAAAACAAATTCAAACAATTGTCAAACACAATAAGGGGAAGTGCAGTGCTTAAGAACCATAACTCTATCGAAAGTAATTACAAAGTTATTGCCCTTTGTTGCTTTTCCATTGCTTTTTTTTTTGTCCGTTGCATTTTCCTTGTCTGGAGCATAACTTGAAGACTAATGGTTGGAATTCAATATAACTACATACAATGGTCAAGCACATTGAGAGGAAGTGCAGTGCACAAGAAATATAACTTTATCTTGACTTATTACAGAGTTATTCCCCTTTGTTACTTTTCCTTGTCCTGGGCATAACTTGAAAACTACTGGTTGGAATTCAAAACAACTTCATGCAATTGTCAAACACAATAAGGGGAAGTGCAGTGCACAATGACCATAACTCTATCTAAAGTAACTACAGAGTAATTGCCCTTTGTTGCTTTTCCATTGCTTTTTTTTGTCCGGACCAAAACTTGAAGACTAATGGTTGGAATTCAATATAACTACATACAATAGTCAAGCACATTGAGAGGATGTGCAGTGCATAAGAACCATAACTCTATCTAAAGTAATTACAGAGTTATTGCCCTTTGTTGCTTTTCCATTGCTTTCTTTTGTCCAGACCATAACTTGGTGACTAATTGTTGGAATTCATTATAACTTCATACAATGGTCAAGCACATTGAGAGGAAGTGCAGTGCATAAGAACCATAACTCCATCTTGACTAATTACAGAGTTACTGCCCTTTGTTACTTTTCTTTGTCCAGAGCATGACTTGAAAACTACTGGTTGGAATTCAAATCAACTTCATACAATGGTCAAGCACAATAAGGGGAAGTGCAGTGCACAAGAACCATAACTCCATCTTGACTAATTACAGAGTAATTGCCCTTTGTTACTTTTCCATTGCTTTTTTGTCCGGACCATAACTTGAAGACTATGGTTTGAATTCAATATAACTTTATACAATGGTCAAGCACATTGAGAGGAAGTGCAGACCAGTGCACAAGAACCATAACTCCATCTTGATAAATTACAGAGTTACTGCCCTTTGTTACTTTTCCTTGTCCAGAGCATAACTTGAAAACTACTGTTTGGAATTCAATACAACTTCATACAGTTGTCAAGGACAATAAGAGGAAGTGCAGTGCACAAGAGCCATCACTCCATTTTGACAAAAAACAGAGTTACTGTTTTTGGTACTTTTTCTTGTCCGGAGCATAACTTAAAACATACTGGTTGGAATTCAAAACAACTTCATACAATGGTCAAGCACAATAAGAGGAAGTGCAGTGCACAAGAACTATAACTCTATCTTCAGTATTTATAGAGTTATTGCCCTTTGTTCTTTTTCTTTATCTTTCTGGACTTATTACAGAGTAATTCAATTAAATTTCCTCAATGGCCAACCACATTGAAAGGAAATGCAACGTACAAGAACCACAACTATCTTTATTTGCCCACAACCATAACTCTATATTTCAATTCTTTTACAAGGTATTCTGTTACTAGTAACATCCTCATTTCCGAAGCTGTCTTGTGGTGGTATTAATCACATTTAGTGATAGTTCTAGTTTTATATTCTGTTTCATTTTATTTTTTTAATAAATTTATTGATGCATTTGCAGATCTAGCATTGATCATAATTTTGGACTGAAAGTCTTGAGATCCATACCTCAATCTTTTTAAATAGCACAATTTAATGCTTCATATAAAACTTCCCTGAGGCGGGGAATGTTGGTAACTCTGTTACAAATTCTTGTTTCTCAATGGATTGTCTTCATATATTGAACAAAACAATCCTTAAGACAAGACCTTCAAGTTGACTATACTGAACTTGAACTTCTCTCATAAATGTCCATGACCTTCAAGGTCAGATGTTTAAATTTTGTAAGTAATCACACTGTCTGTCTGTCCTTTGGTCCATCTGGTAATCTTATCAGCGCTTCATCTCCAAATACCCCTGGGAGAATCCAGTGAAACTCAACAGGAGTGATCAGTACCATCCCTTGTTTTGCATATCGCTGCACATTCAGCTCCATGGCATAAAATGGCCTCCAGAGCTATAAATAGAAAAATCGTGTCCGGGCTTAATTACAGGTCAAACTGCTGGCAGGATTTCAATGATTGATCAGTACCATCCCTAGTTGTGCATATAGCCTGCATGTTTCACTTTGCTGCACAAAAATGGCAAGTCAGAGCTATGAAAAGAAAAATCTTGTCAAGTTTATAAAGGTTAAACTGCTATTCGGATTTTGACCGAAATTCACAGGAGTGATCAGTATTAGCTTGTTTTGGGAGACATATGTTTTTGTGACAAAAAACCCTTCTAGTTTACGTATTGATTTGATTCATTCTTGGACAAAGAACACTTATGACAATACTGACTGATTAATTCAAATTTGACCTTGACCTTTGAAAGACCATCAAGTCAAATATGAAATTAGAATTATATTTTGCTCAAAAAAACATGACCACATGTATGTGATTTAAATATAGTAATTGAATTTCATTCTATTTGAATATATATACTATCTTTAAATCACATACATGTGGTCATGTTTTTTTAGCTATCTAAATAAAACATAAAGAAAAAATAACATTTAACCCATTACTTCATGAGCATTTTGTGAAAAATGGCTGTTTTCATTGAAAAGTCTCCCGTTACAAGTTCAAATTGCTATAATACTATAAAAACTGCTTCAACACTAATCAAACTTGGCACAAATGTTGACTGGACCATTGCCCTTGCAACAACATGATCAGGCTTAAATTTTCTGTTACCATGGCAACGAGGGGACATCTCAAAATTGCCAAAAATCACTATTTTGCGTTGATTTTTTCCATCAAAATTGATTTCAAAGTGCTGCAACTTCTCAATGGATTGAGATAGAGTCAAATGCTTTTCAACGTTGGTTACATGTTACCTTATGATCAATCTGGGGTCATTTACAGCCTCTCACAAGTCCAAAATTTTCTTGGCGATGAGGGGGACTCCGCCCCCCTTCAAACCCCCCCCAAACAGAAGGGGGCAAATCCCCCTTCTGGCAACCCCCTGATGTATCTTTTGGTTGGGGGGCCGCGCCGAAAAAGAGGTCACTTTTTTTAACAACATTTCTCAAACAAAAACAAGTGTTTGGGGCCTAAATAAGGCATTTTTCATAAAAGTCAAAATTTACAAATGACATCTTTCTTATGCGGTGGGAATGTTTAACAACTTCATTTTTATATAAATGTTGAATAATTAGTATGCTCGATAATCTGTAAAAAATAACTTTCTGTTATTTATTTACAAAACAGTTTTGATCCATTACGTACATGTTTGACATTTGTTCCAGATTTTTTTAACTTCTCCGTTGCTTTGCCTTGTCTCCAACACGAAAACCCTATTAGTGAGGATGTTTTTCTGTCGTGCATTTTTCATTAGAAATAAACAAAATACATCTAATTTAACCCATTACTTCATGAGCATTTTGTGAAAAATGGCTGTTTTCATTGAAAAGTCTCCTGTTACAAGTTCAAATTGCTATATAATACTATAAAAACTGCTTCAACACTAATCAAAACTTGGCACAAATGTTGACTGGACCATTGCCCTTGCAACAACATGCTCAGGCTTAAATTTTCTGTTACCATGGCAACGAGGGGACATCTCAAAATTGCCAAAAATCACTACTTTGCGTTGATTTTTTCCATCAAAATTGATTTCAGAGTGCTGTAACTTTTCAATGGATTGAGATAGAGTCAAATGCTTTTCAGCGTTGGTTACACGTTACCTTATGATCAATCTGGGGTCATTTACAGCCTCTCACAAGTCCAAAATTTTCTTGGCGATGAGGGGGACTCCGCCCCCCTTCAAACCCCCCAAACAGAAGGGGGCACATCCCCCTTCTGGCAACCCCTGATGTATCTTTTGGTTGGGGGGGCGGGGCTGCGCCGAAAAAGTGGTCACTTTTTTTAACAACATTTCTCAAACAAAAACAAGTGTTTGGGGCCTAAATAAGGCATTTTTTCATCATTTGAGACAACAAAAAGGGGGGGGGGGGGGTGATAAAGGCGTTAAAAGGCGTGTATATGAAGTAATGGGTTAATTGCTGATCAAGTTCAAGGTCAATTCATTGCAGTCTCATTGTCACAAGCGAAGCGTATACGCCACATAAGTAGGGGCGGAGCGTTGCATTGTTTAATCGATATTATTGATAATACACGTCACGCGTATACTGCTTACGCTAAAACGGTTTGGGAAATAGAGATTTTGACACATTTATTTGTGACATTACGAGGCGGCGTTGTCTAAAACGCAATTACTTGATAGGTAAAAGTGGTCGTTTAATGAAAAGATTGCTCTCAATTAGGTGACTAATTAGCGGTCGCTGGTCGCGTTGAGCAAAAGTCGCTTAATACATTAAAAACATAGAGAGAAAATGATCGGGGGGAATTTAAAGTGGTCGTTTAAGACAAAAGTCGCTTAATACACGTGGTCGCATGGGCAAGTTAGACTGTATATAAAAGATGAGTTTGTGGCGGACCATGAAAAAATTGCGAGTTTTGCATGTCAGTTACTGTAGGAGTATTCTTAACTACAACATTAATCCGATGTGTTTGACTTAAGAAGTAAGAGGAAGTCAGTTGTGGTCCGCGCTTGGCGGTGACTCTTGTAATAAGATAAAGAATTGCAAATTATTTTGAAGAAAATCACTGATTTGTCTTGTTGTTTTCATGTAGTAGTCCTTATCATACTTATTTTAGAATGTTGCAAAAGCCTGCCTGATTAATTTGGAAAGTAATGGATCTAATTGGACCTATAAGATTTGCAAAGACCTGGGTGTTGGCTTAATTGTTTTTCAATAACGTTTTTTTTTTATATATAACAATATGTCATCTTTTATTTGTCTGCATTGCTTTTTACAATGATTAATCTCAAGAAATTTGTTAAGATTACTGGAAAAAAGTCCACCAACTTAGCTCATTAGGAAAGGGATCACTTCATGGCTTGATTTTGATGGACCATACGAAATTTCAATGTGATAATTCATCTCAAGCATTGAATGTAGCAGCCATTTGTCTGTCACCACTGTTTCAGAAATCATATGGCATTATAAGTAGGTCGCTTGTGGAGAAATTGGCTATTACTGGTTAATTATCCAGGAAAGATGGTTAAAGGTGAACCAACTCAAATGAGATATGACCAAAAATGTGTTGAAATGACTTAAAAATTAACAAACAAAACTTAAACAAAATGGGAAATGCTGGTATTAAGAGAATCAGGAATCAATTCATTATAAAAAAATGTAACATAGCTGGCTTTCAGTTTATATAACAGTTTTACTGTTATATTGTTAAAACTGATGTAAGTAAAAATTCCATAAGCAAAAACTAGAAAAACTGCAAGAGTGTGAACTTTGCTTTTAGCCACTAAATGTCACAGAATTGGTAAAAGGAAAAACAATTGTATACTTATGTGCCCTTTGCATCTAAAAGTTTGGATAAGATAAGTTTGATACCTGTATTAAGCATAGATCAAGATTTGCTTGTGATCATGTAAATGGTTTGTCAGATATTGCTTTTTGCTTTCTGAATCATAATTTAAGTATATTGCTTGTATTCATTGATATACTTTCCAGGAAATGCCTGTAAAACACATTCTCGAGAGAGAACAATTATGCTTGTTGGTGCAACAGGTACTGGAAAAAGCACATTAGTTGATGGAATGGTGAATTATATACTAGGTGTAAATTGGAATGACCCATACAGGCTTACCCTTATTGACCTTGTAGATGAAGAGAAAGATAAAGATGCTGATCAGGTAATACTTGCCTTTAATGACATATTCTGCTACATAATGTATGTAAATAGGTACCTAAACTCTGCCTTAGTACTTGAACAAACTCTAAGTGGCAGTTTGAATTTTAAAACAAAAGTCTGGTATTATCATAATATAATACTTAAATGATGTCAATAGAAATTTCTGTTTTACTACCAATGTGCCTGCTGCTAACCTTAAATATCTGGAAACAATTTGACATGATCAAAGGGTTGTTATGAGGTGTCGTATATTTGGGCACCACATTGTATCTGAAACAGAAGGTTAGTCCGCCCGTCCAAACGGTTGTTTTATTGTTAATTAGATCTTTGTTCTCTAATACTTTATGAATGTGCATATATTAAAATATTTTTATACCCCCGCACAACAAAGTTGTAAGGGGGGTATACTGGAATCAGCTTGTCCGTCCGTCCGGCTGTCCGTCGGTTTTTTCTTGTCCGCCGAATAACTTAAGATTCCTTTGACCCTTAGTCTTCATATTTGGCATGGAGGTTAGTCATGATTAGTAGATGACCCCTATTGATTTTGAGGTCACCAGGTTAAAGGTCAAGGTCACAGGGGCATTGACTTCAAAAAGCTTGTCTGCCCAATAACTTAAGATTCCTTTGACCTACAGTCGTCATATTTGGCATGGAGGTTAGTCATGATTAGTAGATGACCCCTATTGATTTTGAGGTTACTAGGTCAAAGGTCAAGGTCACAGGGGCCTTGACTTCAAAAAGCTTGTCCGCCCAATAACTTAAGATTCCTTTGACCTACAGTCGTCATATTTGGCAGTGAGGTTAGTCATGATTAGTAGATGACCCCTATTGATTTTGAGGTCACCAGGTCAAAGTTCAAGGTCACAGGGTCCTTGACTTCAAAAAGCTTGTCCGCCCAATAACTTAAGATTCCTTTGACCCATAGTCTTCATATTTGGCATTGAGGTAAGTCATAATTAGTAAATGACCCCTATTGACTCTGAGGTCACCAGGTCAAAGGTCAAGGTCACAGGGGCCTTGACTTCAAAAAGCTTTTCCACCAAATAACTTAAGATTCCTTTGACCCACAGTCTTCATATTTGGCATGGAGGTTAGTCATGATTAGTAGATGACTTCTATTGACTTTGAGGTCACCAGGTCAAAGGTCAAGGTCACAGGGACCTTGACTTCTAAAAGCTTGTCCTCCCTATAACTTAAGATTCCTTTGACCCACAGTCTTCATGTTTGGCATGGAGGTTAGTCATGCTCAGTAAATGACCCCTATTGATTTTGAGGTCACCAGGTCAAGGTCACAGGGACTTTGACTTCAAAAAGTTTGTCTGCCCAATAACTTAAGATTCCTTTGACCCACAGTCTTCATATTTGGCATGGATGTTGATCATGATTAGTAGATGACCCCTTTTGATTTTGAGTTCACTGGATCAAAGGTCAAGGTCATAGAGTCTTTGACTTCAAAAATTTTGTCCACCCATTAACTTAATATTCCTTTGACCCAGAGTCTTCATATTTGGCATGGATGTTGATCATGACTATAAGGTAACCCTTATTGATTTTGAGGTCACTGGGTCAAAGGTCAAGGTCACAGGGACCTTGACAAAAAAAAGCTTTTCTTCTCAATTGCTAAATAATGTCCTGTCCGCAATGTATTGATTTTGACATTTTCACATTTGAAGCATGTAGAATACATAACTTAGCAATGCACTGGCTTAGTAACCTCAGATTTGGCAGGGAGGTTGTCCTTGAGCTCTATATGGCCACTGTTGATTCTGACAAAGTGGTATGCGGGGGTATTCACACCATGATAGTGGCAGTTCTAGTTTTTTAAAATTTACAACACATAAGAATTTAAGTATAAATTTAAGTATTTCCTTCTGACAGAAAACTTTTCATATTATTGGTGTCTCCTTTCTGAAAATAATCTCTCAAGAGTATATTAATCATATATTAAGTATAATAATATTATCGTATGACAATATTTCTGTTTGAAACAGGCTGTGTCACAGACACAATGGATAACATGCTACACTCTTAATCCTATAAAAGGCAGTCGCTTGAACTATTCTTTGAACATCATAGACACACCAGGATTTGGAGATACGCGAGGGATTGATCGAGACAAGCAAATAATTGAACAGATTCGTACATTATTTTCTAGTGAAGATGAAACTGGCATTCTTAACATTGATGCTGTTTGCTTTCTTATAAAAGCCCCTGATGCCCGTTTAACACCAACACAGATGTACATTTTCAATGCAATCATGTCACTGTTTGGACAAGACATAGAAAACAATTTCTGTATGCTTGTTACTTTTGCAGATGGAAAACGACCACCAGTGTTGGCTGCACTAAAAGCGGCAAAATTACCACATGAGCAGTATTTCCCATTTAACAATTCAGGTCTCTTTGCAGAGAATACCGGGGAAAATGTTCCCAGCTTTTCATCAATGTTTTGGGATATGGGCTGTAAAAGTTTTCAGATGTTCTTTGATAAGCTCACAAAGATGGAAACAAAAAGTCTGAGGCAGACAAGAGATGTCCTTGAACAGAGAGAAGTTATAGAAATAACCATGGAAAATCTTTTACCAAAGTTAGATGCTGGGCTTTTAAAACTAGAAGAGATGCGTGTCAAATCAGGATATTGGAAGTCTACAAGACACAAATTGAGGAAAACAGTGACTTTACTTACACTGTATCTGAAACAGAACAGCGGCAAATAGACCTTCCAAAGGGGCAGCATGTAACAAATTGTCTAAACTGTCATACAACATGTCATAAAGATTGTGGTATTCCAAATGATGAAGATAAAAAGAGATGTTGGGCGATGGATAGAAATGGTTATTGTAGGCAGTGCCCTGATAAATGTTTCTGGAATATTCACAGAAATACCCCGTACATATTTGAATATGTAACTGTACAAAAGCAGAAAACATATACAGAAAAACTGAAGAAATATCGACGTGCTGAAGGGGAGAAAATGACACGTGAGAAAGTTGTAGAAAGAATGTATGATGAGCTGTATGACCTTGAGGATGATATTATGGGGTTGATGGACAAAATCAATGAATGTAACAATGTTCTGAGACAAATAGCTCTTCGGCCTGACCCACTGAGTGTAGTTGAGCACATTGACTTGTTGATAGAAAGCGAAAAAATGGAAAAACGACCAGGCTTTCAAACCCGAATTGCATCTCTGAATCAATGTCGAAAGAAAGCTACTGTAGGGGAGGATGTTGACCGTTTCAGGACAACTTTCACTGATACTACCAAGAAGATAATAACTGCACAAGTTCATTTACCTCCAAAGCCTAAGAAGAGGACCAGAAGAGGAAATTTTAATTTCTTCCAACCAGTTCTTAACTATTTTCAGAGATAGTTATCAAGTTTGTTAGGCCTGAAGCATTCCTTACCTGGCTGCTTGATAATGTCTACACTACCTTTCAGATGACATAGATATTTCTGTATGGAGTACAGTATGATTGTGTAAATAAACTATTGTGTATAAGGATGATTATTTAATGATTTTTTAATGCTTCCCTATATATATTCATAAAATCTTCCTTTTGTTGATGCTTTATTATCCCCCGCCGAAAAATTTCGGCGGAGGATATAGAAATAGTCTCCGTCCGTCCTTCCGTCCGTCCGTCCTTCCGTCCGACATTTTTGTCCAGAGCATATCTCTAAAAGTATTTGAGGTATCAACTTGAAACTTCATAGGTGGATAGACCTCATTGAGGAGGAGTGCAGTGCACAAGAATGATAACTCTACCTTGCATGATTTTTGAGTTATTGCCCTTTGTTATTTTTCAAAATTGATTTTTGTCCAGAGCATAACTCCAAAAGCTTATGAGATATTAACATGAAACTTCATAGGTGCATAGATCTCACTCAGGAGGTGTGCAGTGCACAAGAATAATAACTCTACCTTTCATAATTTTTGAGTTATTGCCCTTTGTTATTTTTCATACCTAATTTTTCACCTGAGTGGAGCATAACTCAAAAAGTGTTTGAGATATCAACATGAAATGTCATAGGTGGATAGATCTTATTGAGGAGGAATGTTGTGTGCAAGAATGATAACTCTTCCCTATACAATTTTTGAGTTATTGCCCTTTGTTTTTTTTTATGTTATTTTGTCCAGAGCATATCTCAAAAAGTATTTTGAGGTATCAACTTGAAACTTCAAAGGTGGATGGATCTCATTGAGGAGGAGTGCAGTGCTTAAGAATGATAACTCTACCCTGCATTATTTTTGAGTTATTGCCCTTTGTTATTTTTCAAAATTAATTTTTGTCCAGAGCATAACTCAAAAAGCCTTTGGGATATCAAAATCAAACTTCATAGGTGCATAGATCTCACTCAGGAGGTGTGCACTGCACAAAAATGATAACTCTACCTTTTATAATTTTTGAGTTATTGCCCTTTGTTCTTTTTCATACTTAATTTTTCAATTCAATTTTTTTCTCAAAAAGTATTTGAGGTATCAACTTGAAACTTCATAGGTGGATAGATTTTACTAAGGAGGGATGCAGCACACAAGAATGATAACCTACCCTGCATTATTTTTCAGTAATTGCCCTTTGTTATTTTCAGCCATCAGTATTCACATAGGTTTCAAATCTGTTATCATTATAGCCATCAGTTTTCATTACCAAAAGACCTCTTAAAATGGAATTATTCCGCTCTACTACATATACATTGTTCCAATGAGCAAACACATTCGGCGGGGGATGGCCATGTTGACATGGCTCTTGTAGATAATTGAAATTCTGACTAGAAATCTGTGCTCTTATGATTACATCAATAACACATTCTAGGATAATCAAACTCTGTAAATTGATTACAGACAATATGAAACTTATGCATGCATATGATTATTTTTTCAAATGGTCTATTGTAACCAAGAGAATTAGAATGTTGATACTAAAATTATTAGAAAATACTGTAACTAAGCATTGAAAATTTGTGTGTCTGTAGATCAAGGTTGCTGTTAAAATGTTGTTTCATATTGCTTCCATTGTATAAACACTCAGTTTATAGAGCTTTGTTTAAATGTTAGTAAGTTTAAGTATTATAGAGAATAGAATAAAACAGATCATGCATACCATTATAGACTGTGATTATCAATAATGTGAGCATATAAATGTTGAATAAGTTATATCCCATTCTTAAACAAAAAACATGATGTGGTTTTGTATCAATTCATTAAATAAGGAAATTGCCAGAAAGTGTAATCTGATTGAAAATTAATATCATTACATGCTTCTCATTTGATTTGTTATTGCATGTTTTTGTAATGATTTTTGTGTTGTTTTTTTTTTAATTTTCACATAATATTATGGTCAAATTGTGTAACTATGTTTAAATGTGTATCCAAAATGTTTCACATAATTGTCCTTGTTTTCCATTTAATTAACAACATTATTCATTTCTACATGTATATATACTAATTACTCCATAAATGTTATGTTAGGATCATATTTAATGAGAACAGGGTTGCATTTTATAGAAAATGTTTGAATTGTGATACTTATGCTATAACTCGGGCTTCAGTTTCTGATTTTTGTCCCCCACCTTTTCGAAGAAAAAAGGGGGATATAGAAATAGGCTAAGTCTGTCTGTTTGTCTGTCCGGCCATCCGTCTGTCTGTCCTTCCGTCTGTCACACTAATTTGTGTCCGGTCCATAACTTTGTCATTTATCAAAGGAATCTGAAATAACTTGGCACAAATGTTTGTTATAATAAGACAATGTGTTATGCGCAACAACCAGACCCCTACCTCCAAGGTCAAGGTCGCACTTTCTCATTCAAGGTCAACATTGTCTATTTGAGGGTATAAAAAATTGTCTTGTCCGGTCCATAACTTTCTTATCTTTGAAGGGATTTTGTAAATTCTTGCCACAATTGTTCACAATTATGAGACGATGTGTCATGCGCAACAACCGGTTACCTACCTCCAAGGTCAAGGTCACACTTGGAGGTCAAAGATTAACATAATCTATATAGAGTATATTTTGTGTCCGGTCCATAACTTTTTCAAGATTTTGTAAATACTTGCCACAAATAGTCACTTTAATAAGACAATGTGTCATGCACAACCTCTTTTCCCTACCTCCAAGTTCAAGGTCACACTTAGATGTCAAAAAATAACATTGTCTATTTTAGGGTATATTTTGTGTCAGATCGAGAACTTCTTCAGGATTTTAAAATAACTAAGCACAAATAGTCACAATAAGAAGACGATATGTCAATTACAACATTTGCAGCCCTACCTCCAAGGTCAAGGTCACACTTAGAGGTCAAAGGTTAACAGTCTGTTATATGGTATATTTTGTGTCCTATCCATAACTTCTTCATAGATCAAGGGATTTTGAAAATACTTGGCACAAATAGACACAATGATAAGATGATATGTCATGCGTTACACCTGTGTCCCTACCTCCAAGGTCAAGGTCACACTTAGAGGTCAAAGATTTACATAGTCTGTTATAGGGTATATTTTGTGTCTGATCTATACTTTCTTTATAGTTCAAGGGATTTTGAAAATACTTGGTACAATTATTAACAATAAAAAGATGATATGTCATGCATAACACCTTCACCCCTATCTCCAAGGTCAAGGTCACACTTAGAGGTCAAAGCCCTACATGATAAATTGTTAAATTCCGTGTTTCATTTGATTTATTTAATAAATTTATTGTTGCATTTGCTGATCTAGCATTGATCATATGTTTGGACTGAAAGTCCTGAGATCCATACCTCAATCTTTTGAAATAGCACAATTTTATGCTTCTTTAGAAATTTCCCAAGGCGGGGGACGTCGGTAACTCTGTTACAAAATTCTTGTTTTTATGCAGATGAAGAGTAACATATTATAGATTTATTAAAGCATGAGTTTAATAAAAGTTTTACATCTTTAAGTAATGACAATGTTTATTGAAATGGTCGTAGTTGTTCTAAAGTTGGCAGGTCTTTCTAATAATGAAACACATATGATTGTGAATAGATTAACCAGTTAAGTGTATAATAGTTCTTGCCCATGAATGGATTATAAAATAATTGTTCATGTGTGTAGAACAAAGAGACTATGAGTTGCTTGCAAGATTAAGGGTTTGTAGGTACATTGTACATCAATTTCATAAAATTCAAATTGCTTGTGTAACATAGCAATTCCTTGTCAATTGGCTTTAAAATGAATAACTAGTACATGTTATATAAATGATTTCAAATTAATGTTACATTTTTTCCAATTATAAAAAGAATTTCAATTTGAATAAATATGTAAAATAAATAACTTTTAGATTCTCAAATGATTAATTTCACAACTATATTCTTGCATATCATACTGTTAGAGTCTTACACCGGCTGCTAGTACAGACTGGAATATCTAGCTCGAGGGTAACTGTTTACGGCGGTAACGAGGCTCTGTTGAGTTTCTGCTATACATGAGTTACCAGAGAGCTAAGGGTTTGAAAACTGATATTCTCATAACACACTTTTTTCTTATAGTAGCATATGAACATTCAACTTCATTCATAACAGAAAAATGAAAATGAAGTCACCCTAAGAACGTGATTCATTCATAAAAGGCGTCCTTTAAAGCACGCTACTTGTCTTACATGGGGGTGTAAGACAGAGTTTTCTAGGACCGGTGTAAACGGTAGATAATCTTGTCTGACATGCAAGAAAGGATTATCTACCATTCACACTGGTGCTAGAAAACTCTATCTTACACCCCCCATGTTAGATAAGTCGCGTGTGTTAAATAACGTCATTGCCGCGTGCCATTTATGAATGAATTTCTTTCTTAGGAAGAAGTCATTTTACCGCTTAATGAATAAAGTTGTAAGTTCATACGCCATTATAAGAAAAAGTGTTGATGAGAATATCAGTTTTAATAATTTCTGTTCCAAAAGTAATTGACATGTAATATGCAAGAAAAAGAATCAAACACTGGCTGTCGGTACAGATGGGAATATCTAGCTTTCGGGGTAATTGTTGGGGTAACTGTTGAGCGGAAACTCGGCAGAGCCTCGTTACGGCTGTTAACAGTTATCCGAGAGCTAGATATTCCAGTCTGTACCGGCTGCCGGTGTAAGATTCTTATAGTATTCTTGTTAACAGTTTTTGTGTCGCCTCTACAGAGTAGTGGCGACATATAGGGTTCACTTCTCCGTTGTCTGTCTGTCCGTCTGTCTGTCCGTATGTCCGTCACAAAACTTGTCCGGACTACTCCTCATAAACTACTGGTGCAATTTCATCCAAACTTTACAGGAATGATCAGTACCAAGTGTAGTTGTGCATATTGTCAGCATTTTCCGGTTCAATGATTTTTGTCAGAGTTATGGCCCTTTAATAATTTTTATTTTTAAAGTTTGTCCGGACTACTTCTTTACCACTAATGCAATTTCAGTGAAACTTTACAGGATTGATCTGTAGCTCAAGTCCTTGCGCATATTGCACGGGTTTTCCAGTTGATTGATTTTTGGTTGTGTTATGGCTCTTTGTTAAAAAGGTGGGTTTTTTCTGTGCGTTGCCAGATACACAAAAGCTTATCCGGACTACTCCTCATGAACTACTGGTGCAATTTCATCCAAACTTTACAGGAATGACCAGTACCAAGTCTAGTTGTGCATATAGTCAGCATTTTTTGGTTCAATGATTTTTGTCAGAGTTATGGTCCTTTAATAATTTTTATTTTTAAAGATTGTCCGGACTACTTCTCTTATACCACTGATGCAATTTCAATGAAACTTTACAGGATTGATCTGTAGCTCAAGTCCTTGTGCATATTGCACAGGTTTTCCGGTTGAATGATTTTGACTGAGTTATGGCCCTTTGATAAAAA